TAATTATACTGTATCCAGGACCTCAGCACCGAATTCCCTGCACACCTTCACAGGGAGGCAGTTCAGAACACTGAATTGCACAGTAAAATGGCCTGAAAACAAAGGAGCAGCCAGGAAGGGTCAGGCTGAGGGCTCCTGTCACCTGGTGGTGTGTCCCTGACAGCTTCAGGTGCTTTGATGAAGAGGAGAAAAGAGGCAAACAGCAATCCAGCTCCTCACTCTTCTGGCAATAGCAGATTAGGGATACCCACTGTCAGGGCTTGTATCTGCATTTTAACGTTCAACAACACTTGAAAGATTTTCCTGATGTGAATTTGTCTAAATATTCTGAGGCTAATCAAACTTTGGACTTCCACAGCACTCCGTAGCTGTGAGTTCCACAGTTTAATTACACACCATAAGAAAAGCCAAATCACTCCTTAAACCTATTGCCTTATAACACTCTCTATTATTGGTCTCCAAGAAAAAGCAAGGATTAACTAAACCCAGAAGACAGATTCCCAGCTCTCTCTCATTGTAGCAGGCAGGCACAATGGCAGTGTCTTGACTCCCCTCTAATGAACACTGGTGTAACATCTGCATTGTCCTCCAACAGAGATGGCCTGTTGCAGTTGAAATCATGCTTCAGCCTTTACAATTACCACATTTTCCCCAGTTACTCTGTTGAATTCAGGCCGATGACAGAAGGGCTGAAATGCTGACAGTTGGGCAGTAAGATGCTTGTTTGCTTAGACAGCCAGACCATGGGCTAAAACTGTGGCAAGAAGGACTGTGCCAGTGGTTAAGCAAGACTCTCTCAGGAATTCAGAGGTGATGTCGTTAGTGCTTCGGTAACATCTATAAAGTGATTCTCTCTGTAGTGTTAGATGTAGTGCTGCAGCAGGTGCTTCTTCAGAATAATGACAACTATGTGCAACTGTCTACTCAGTTTCAATACATATTTTAAGAACAAGAGGCATAGGAGACTGTTGAGGAAGAAGGAGAAGCAGGGGAATGAGTGTGGAGAGCAGAGAGCTTCAGAGAATGCCAGTGGAGCAGACAGGTCTTGAGGAGAGACGAGGCTGTGAAAGGAGAGATTACAGCTTTACTGGGTTCTGCGATGCTGACAGCAGCAATTCCTACCTCTCACCAGGGATTCTTCCATATGTACCTGAGAAGATAACACAGGAGAGTTGAGCCTCTCCGCAGGATGCCCATCACTGCTTGCACCCTGCTGGGATGGGAGAGTGAAGCCTCGAATCTCTCTCTGCTTTGTTCCAAGGAGCCTGGCTGCAGTAAGCAGCATAATCACGGCTCCAAAAAGCCTCAAGGTTACAGAGTCTGCTGGGGAGGATGAGCGTGTGTGTGTGTGTGTGTGTGTGGTGACTTGACATAAATATTAATCCAGCTGAGCTTTAGGATTAGAGAAAGAAATTAATAGAGAAACCTGCAAAAAGCGTGAAAATAACTTGCATATTGGTCTAGTTGATTTATCTCCTGAGCAGAAATGCTCTTCCTTTCTCGTCAGCCACAGTTACTGCAGGTCATGTGGTAATTTCACAGTCAGTGATGAACTTACATATTACGGCTTGAGTCGATCCACAAATTGCAGAAAAGGCCCTTGTGCCTCTGTTCTTGTTTGTGGATGTCCTCCACCAGCGCCCTGCACCAGCTCTGGTACTCACTGGACTCTACATTAAGCTAACTCAATCTACTAATCTGGCAGTAAACAACCTGGAATAAATAAATCCATTCAGTAAAGGTCTGAGAAGTATGAAAGAAGGTGCACAAGAGTGACATAGCACAGTCAGAAAGAGTGGCAGGGAGCACTGAGTGAGAATGGGGACATGAGGCTTCCCCTCTTTGATCAAAGCTGTCAGATCAATTTCTTCGTAAAATATTACTGCACAACATGGCTTTGGGAAAATTTTCAATCAGAACCCTTCAGGATGGACTTGTAGGAAATAAGACACCAATCTTGGATGCAAAGTTATTTTGGAGTTAGATACCAGACTGAGGTCAAGAGGTAAGAGTCAGCTGCTGATTCTGCCACTGACTCTCTCTGTGACCATGAGCAAGTAATTCAGGACACAGCACACTCTGTAATACAAGATGGGACACACGGGCCCCTTCTAACTTTGCCTCTGGGACTGGAAATACAACAGCCACTTCACAGTGCCAAACCTAAAGAGCTATTCTGATTCAGAGCTTTTTAAGGGAGGCACAGAGCCAGATTTACAGGATGGATGTGCCACTCCCAGTGCCTGAGCTGGTGTGAGCGCTCTGTGCCACATGGGACTCTCCACCTGGACTCAGAAACCTCGGCACTACGCTGACTTGGAGGATCCAACTTTCCACTTCAAATTCTCCACGCTTCCTACTACCCCATCAACCAACAGTTTCCCTGCCTTGCAGAGACCAGCATAGCATGAAGTCAGATGCTACAGGAGAGATTTAGACAGGACAGCAATTGAATGTCCAAATGTTCAATGAATCCAACCGAGAGAGAGACAAGCCTGCTACTGAAGGCAACAGCACATCTTGCCTTTTATGCCTCTTCTCCAAAGCCCTGTTTGTACAAGGGAAGAACAAGTCGGTTTGGCAGATATCTAGACAATTCGAATGTTCACCACAAACTCATTCCTGAATCTTGTCCTGAAGGTCACACGAAGCAAAGTCTGTGAGGACAGCTACTAGCTATAACCTTCTGCCCTGTTACTGTTACTTCTGCTACTCCTTTCCCTCTCCACTGTCTTCCCTTTCTTTGACTACTCCCAGAAGAGCTGCCGAAGCCTCTGTAACCTCAGTCTCTCCCGAGGTGAGAGGCAGAGCCCTGTTTGCGGCACAAAGGGGTACTCAGACGAGGTCTCCAACCGCTGTTTGCCTCTACCAAATGACCTCCAAACTTGTTGAGATTCTTTGCTTATAATATGCTTCAACAGACACATTGTCCCATGAGGACTGAACTAAATTGAGTTGCAGAACTGCAAATCATGAAGCAGCCTCATTTTAATCACGGCTATTCAAGTGCTAAGGAATGCAGAAAGTAAATACATATTTGGTTTTAGGTCACTGTCTGTCCCATTTGCAGGGGGAAAACGAATGTACTCAATCCCTGAGGTGTTAATCCTAGGAGAATACCTTGGGAAATGAACCTGCCATAACCACTACACATGAAACATACCCTTTGTCAAATCCCCTACCCACTGCTTTTGTCACAAAGCTTTTGTCCTGGATCTGTTAACCCTCTCATTCACGTCTCCACATTCTAATAAGGTTTTAACATTACACCCTTCTTCTGCTACCCCTGCACCAGTCCCTGCTGGCTTACAGCTGATTGGTTTCCTTGAGCACTGACAGAAATCCACCTTCCAGGGTTAAGTTCTGCCTTTGTCTTCAGAGCAGGCTTGAGAAAAAAGTCACAGAGCCCGGTCCTGCAGGTGTAAACTTGGCTGTGGCTACGCTGACCAGGTGCTTGGATTTGCAAATCAGTCCTTGACTTCTATGGTACTCCAAACACATTTGAATAAATGCTCTGCAGGCACAGATTTGATCAGCTTGCATTCCTAGTGCTGCAGTGTCCTTCTCTTCAGCATGCCTTACTCTCAATTTGCATTAGTCCAGTCAATCTGTAACACAGCAGTAAAACTCTATACATGGACTAGTGTTCCAGTTGCAACTCAGTCCTCCACGCTTCTTCTCCTGGGCTTTTTCTCTGTTTAAGCTCTAGCTGTAGTTTGAGATCTTTTCTACCCTCAAAGCATGACTCAGCCTCTCATCTTTTTCTTTTTTGCTTTTACTCTGCCCTGCTTTCTTTCTGTGGCCCTGTGTTTTAATCCCCATGTCTCAAACCTCTTCCTAGGCCATCTAACAAATCCGTTCTCCCATTTCCTCCCTGAACTTAAAATTCACTTAGCCAGTGCATGCCAGCTACAGCTTACCCGCCTGAATAATAGCTACCCTTTCACCTAATCTAACTGTGCCTGACAGGATCAGAATAGTGCTAGCAAGTAATTCTTCTTTTTCTTAAATCTTCAGATCAAATGTATCAATAAAGCCCTGACCATAATATCTCCTCGTCTATGGCAGCCTCAGCCCTACTAACTGAGGGCAGGTGCTTCTGTTGATGCCTGAAAGCAACTTAGCTCTTACTTGTACAGTCACCCTTGAATTAATTCTCTTGTTTTGTGGAGGTGAAGGCCTGCTGGTCCAACAAGAAGCAGAAGGCAGAAGTTTTGCCTGTCTATGCCCTAGAGGGGAAAGTACCATTGCAGCAGCAGCTCCTTTGCTTTAGATAACAATATGTCATTGTAGAGATAGCGCTACACTGAGGGTGGAAAGAGGAAAGGAATTGCTGCAGTACCATGAGTTACCCCTCATCGTCGAATCACAGTGACTGCCTCTGCTTGCCTGTTACCGTCTCGCAAATCGACAGCATCGCCTTAAACCCACCCACCACCACCAGTTACTGCCGCTGCATGGGCAACCTGATCGGTTGTGACATTTCTGTCTGTGCCCTACATTATGCAATTCAACAACTGTGCAGTTAACTCAATAGCTACCTGGAGCTCCTGAGTTTTGATCTGTGCTTTGGGGTTTGTTACAAACTTTTACTCATGAACACTGAAATGAATAATCTGGATACTTTTAAAGAAAGTACTTGCCAAACAAAAGCTGCACATTCTGGAACATCCACTTGGGATTTGAAACATGATCTCAGAAAGGAAAAAGTGACTTACAATTTTAGATACCAATGACATTGATAATGCTGATCTACAGAGACAGTAAGAGACAACAAGAATCGCCCACTTGCCCTACTATCACTCATCCAAACTTCCATCTATTTCTTCCCGAAGGTCTCTTTGAGGGAATGGATGGGTATCAATTAACAATAAACTGCCACAGCAACAAAGATATCGCGCCTCTGGCCTCTCACATGGGTCACCAACAGCCCTGTCTTCCTCTAGACGTTGCATAAACCACCCCAGGTCACATAAGGGTTGCAAGGCCCCATTCCTTACCTTCTCCTGGTACTGACGCCGTGAGGAGTCCAGAGACTGGATTAGGGCTGTGGCATGGCCGATGAACATGGCATAGCAGGTGGCACCGACAATCATGCTCAGCATAGTGAGCCACACATCTGACATGCCCACAGGCGCCTGCTGCCCATACCCAATGCAGAGCATGTGGCTCATTGCCTTGAAGAGCGCATAGGAATACTGCTTCCCCCAGGAGTCATTCTAAAGAGACAGATACAGACAAAGCTTTAACAATGGGACAAGACATTCTCGGAGATGAACACATTTCAGAAAAGCATAGCTGACATTAGACTCAAAAGTCCGCGTTTAAAGCACCTCTATATGCTAAACAAGGAATTTAATTCTTTGATGGTTTGGAAGTGCTGGGCACACTCAAAACGAAATAAAGCTCAAATTTAGTCATCTGACATTAACCGACTTTGGCCAAGGATTTTATAGATTCCATGTCCTCTTTCCAGCAAAACTTTCCAGAAAGGAAGCCACTCAGTCTGACACACTGGTAACCTGGGATAAATTGATTGGGGTATTTTCAAAATGACCCACGTGTGGGAGACAGAACTGAAGCAAATGATTACTCCACTGGGAAATGGACTTTAACAGAGAACTGGTAAAGAGACCGTGAGCAAGGTTGCTAGCAGCAAGATCTCAGATTGGGGAAAAATCACTCCCCAGCAATTTAGGAAATAAGTCAGGATTGCTGGTCATAAGAGATGGGAAGGGCAGAAAATTAAGGTGATAATGTCCAGACAGTAAGTTCTCAGTGTAAAACAGGGCTGGTTTTGAGGGAGCTGAGAAAACTACAAATGGTCTCATTTAAGAGATGCAATAAACCACTGTGAGAAGCCAGCTGAAGTCGATGGCTTCTTTTGGACACCTTGTGCTCTCCTGCTGCAACTAGCACAAGAAGCACTTCAGCAACTACATCATGGGATAAGGAGAAAAAAACAGCATAACTTTCATGATGATTCTGAATAACTTGAGTTCAGGGAACAGCTCAAGGTACATTTACTATCCTGTGGGTTTTATATGCTAGCAAATCCTTGCCACAAAACCCTGTAAAGTAAATGCACTGTCATCACACACTGCTATTGCAAGGTATGTGAAAAAATACCTCTGCTACAGTGACACTCATAGCAGCACATAATCTGTACATTCATCAGTCTTCTTTCTGTTCCTAGGAAGTGTTAACATTACGGATACTGCTGTGCAGACACATGTACCATGGCAACTTGGAAGGTCACTGTAGAGAGGCCTGGTTTGTAGCTTGTCAAATAGACAAGCGATACTTCTGTGAACTCCATTCAGAGATGCAGCAGCCTCAGCACCAGTGACCAGTAACACTGGGAGCCCTGGAGTTTGCTGGGCACCTCCCCAGATGTATCTAATCACAATCAGGTGGATGGCTGATGACCTCAATGCAAACAGCTCTCTGAGTGTCACTAGTGTTGATGGAAATTTTTCAGTGAGCTTAACAAGTAGTAAACAGAAGCGAAGCGTCCTCCTGCTGTTTGTGAGTTGTGGCAAAGAGCTGGAACCTCTGGAGAGCATTAATGCTTGGTTAGGAGATAAGCACATGGACAAAGACAGGCGATAGCATTACCCCGGCCATATTCAGTTACATTATGCAAGACAGGCCTGATTCACACTGCAACAAGAAGGGCAAAGCAACACAAGTGACAGCAAAGTGGACACAGAAGCAGCAGCACATTCACGGCCTCAGAAGAGACTGCTCCTTGCTGGCGCCAGCCTGTCTGGGCTCACCTCCCTAACAAAGCAGGAACCCGTTCACCTTCTGCACTGGAAAAAGTTACCCTTGAGTCCACAGGGAGACAAGAGACAATGTGGCCATTGGTGTGTCTATTCCTGGCTATGCAGTCAGTTTGCCAGTGCGTGGGGAGCCAGCTACAGACGAAGGCAAAGAGCTGCCACGGGGGCTGCCTGAGGTGTAAGCACCAAAGGAGCGAATCTGCTTGCTCCTTCGCCTCACCCATGCCTATGCTGCACCCTGTAGTACTAGCAGTCATAAAAAGCCAGAGCCCCTGCACTTGCAAAATGGCAAATGCTGTGAACACTAGGGCTTTAGCCCATGTACTGTCTGTACTTCAGCATGGAAGTCACCATCCTGTGAGAACAGGTAGGAGCAATCACACTCGACCAACCTTTTCTCAAAATGGTGCATCACCTGTAAAGGTGGGCAGCACATCCACAGCTTTACTAGGACAGGCATCCTGTCTCATCCTTTCCTTGTCAAATGAATTCCTTTCCCATGCAGGCATTCCTCACTGGACATTGCAGAAATGCTGCTGCCTTCAGTTCAGTGTGGCAGTAGTTTAACAGGGCAGCACACCTCCACAACAGAATCGAGAGCAGGGAGAAAAGAAGTGCCAGGCTGAAATTCCAAAGGGAATTTGGAGAGACAGAATAAGAACAGTTGAGCTGGAATTTGATATATCAGGAAATTGCCTGTCAGGGTCTTTAACAGCCATGAATGATCAGAGCCCAAAAAGAACATCTGGGTATGAGGCAGGTTTAAACTTTAAAAGCCATTCTTCAAGCAACTTGCTGCTCAG